TTTTCTTATGCGCACGTGTTTACCGCGTGTAATAAACATACATACATACAATCACCACTGAACGTATTAACTTATTTCCTTGTTTATTTAACTTTTTCCGACTCAATACTTCTGACGTTTTCTACTGACATACTTATCCATACGTATAATATTATAGTTACAATTATTTCTGACTGATTTTGTCAGTGGGACATGACGTCCTCCATTTGTTCTGCCACTGGCCTTGATAGAATAGTTCGATCATTTCGTCAATTTACGGCGGTTGATAGTCTATCACGATGGTAGTTGATCGACCATCACATAAATCAACTAAGGCGCGCATTGATGGTTTGATCGCATCGTGTTCCTTCGGCTACCGTATTCTTGTGGTTACGGTAAAGACTACTGGCCGGATGTCTGCAGTTTCATATGAGCCCACAGTTTTGAGTTCTCAGATCATTTGCAAATCATTCCCATCAAGTTTTACCGTAATGACTGGTCCCTAAAGTTTCCAACCACCTATTAAGGTTCCAGGAAAGTTGACCTACACCCTTTTTTCTATAGAATTCAGTAAATTCAGTATTTCAGACTGGTACCTCAACATACCTATTGGAATATGACGAAGCAGTTCTTGCTCGTCGACATTATGCTTATTCACCAAATGAGAAAAATATGCTATTCTCGTTTGTGGCCATCGGTGCTATGGTAGCTGTCTATCCAGTAATGTTTCTCGTACAGGTATGACACAGTTTTTCGAATACTGTCTCGCAAATGCTCTTTTTACTCTATCATTATTAATATTATATATACAAATCTAATACAAATTTTTGCCCCTCCAAGGGGTTCCTTTAGAGATTCCTGGAGGCACGATATCCGAAAATTATCTAATGGCCGATGTATTCTTGATGGAGAACAACTCATCCAATTAAAACCTAAGCAAAAATCGATTTCAAAACCCAATGGCTGAACTGCTGTGAGGAGGCGTGGCCAAAATTATTTTCGAACAGAATGGGTTTAAACAATTTGGCAAAATACTAAGCTGTTAGGAGGACTGTTCTTTACACTCTAAATGTTCACTTGTTTGTAGTACTACCGAGTTTGTATGAATGTAGTAGGACTAACATGGTGATCAAACTCGACCTATGCAAATTAGTACCACTGTCAAACGTATGCTAAGCCTCAAATGTACTTTGAAACGGCGTCATATGTCGGCGATTAGAGTAGGGTAAATGGAAAATTCGATACTCACAATCATTCAGTCAGGATAATATCCAGACATCATAAGTGGATAGGAGTTGCCATATGACTTAGTTAAAGCTAAAATCATGGAATCAATCACCAATATCGATGAAAAATTGTAAAAAACTTCTGATTTTCGAAATGTTAGATTTTAAAATCAGCCCATCGGTATCCTCGGTATCTATTGAGGGAACAAATTTCTCTGAAATTCACTCCCTTGATGTTTGCCAAAAATAAATATCAATAAAGTCCACAATAATCAATACTTTACAGAGATTTGGCACTCGATCAATTGTGACAATATTCGGCTTCTTTTCTGCTCTCTGTACTGCCCTTATCCCACTATGTGCTTATCTTGGTTTCTATTGGATGGTTGTTATGCGATTCCTACAGGTGCTTTATTGATCTGTATTATCGATATTGTTGATGTGGTAACTAAAAAATGTCAACCAATACATCTTCAAGCTTCAGGGAACAGGTCTTTCAACTGGATTCACCCTCATTGGTATTGTTACCCGACAATGGTCTATGCAAAAGCAGAACGCATTTTTCATCGCATTTCTCACATGCTTTTTCCAGGTAAAGGGCGGGGTTTGTTAGAGACGCAGAGGATCTTAGATAGTTACACACGAATTGGCAGTATGTCACCTATCAGCTTAAATTTCAGAATTATACTTTTGTACAGTGGTTGAATGAAGGTTTTCCTTTGAAAGAGGCTTTTACAGAAATAATGCCTTGATTATTGATTGGTCCTTAAACTATGAGACATTTATTGATTTTCCACAGATTGGTCCCATCTTCACAATGCCTGTGGCCGGGGCGTTATGTACGTCATCACTTGGGTGGTCATCTGTTTATTATTTACACGCCATCATTACCTGCATTTTATTTCTGTTATTCCTATACTTCTACAGGTAGCTAACTCGATTAATGAATCAATAATTGATTGATTATGATCAATATTCAGGGAGCAACCCCAAATGCACGCATACGTATCTGCCAAAGAACTGGATCGTATAAAACGAAACAAAGGAGACACAAATGAACGTGAACCGCTACCCGTAAAGGTACGGTAGCCACTCGGGTGTCAGCGATACGATCAATACCCATAACAATCGTTATCATTTAACCTGCCCAGCGGGAGCGATCAATATTGATTTTTGAAAAATACCAGTAAGTAGAGCAATTGTAGGCTATGGTAACTTCGAATGCGATCATTGCCGTATGGATCTCGGCTATTGCTAATTTTATGGGTATCCAGGTTACAATGCAGTTCTCTCCTATCTATCTAAACAAGGTAATTAGGTCGTAAAAAGTAAATAAATAAATAAATATCGATTGGTTAACTTCCTGAGCTGAGCACCTTAAATTGTAGGTCATGGGCTTCCCAGTGGAACAGACCGGTCTATTCAGCGCCATACCACAGGTACGTGAGAAAAAATATCGTACTTATTGGGCTATACATAGATATACGTAGAACTTTGAATTTTTTACCAATTTTAATGGCTTGCTCTTGAACTGTGTTTAAAAGCCTTCGACAAAGTCTCATGCAAACATACCTTTTGAACAAAAGACTATGGTCTTCAAGAGGAATCTAGAATCTGCTCTTCGGTCCCTTCTGTTCCGCCATGGCTTTAAATACTCTGCTTAGAGTCGCTGAAAGAACTTTCAATTAGGTTGAGTATCCTTACAGCTATGAAACCATAGCTTCAGCTTTTCACAGTTCAACGATCAGGACGAAATTTTCAGAAATGTTTGAAAAACCCTCTAACAATAGTTTATCCCTACGAGATGTTCTGATGGAGTAGTCTTTCTGAATTCTAGTCTTTCAGATCGTGACTTTTGTCCTGAAAATGTTTGCCGGTGTCCTGGCCGATAAGGCCACATGTTGCCGACCGGTCACATCAGTGAAGATCTTCAATATGTTAGCAATCGGTGGCATGGGAATTGCATTTTTCATACTTGCTGTTATACCAACGTCAGTTTCCAGTATTTGTTATATAAAAATCAAAGCATTCCTTGAAATTCAAAAAATAAACAAAAAAGTATTTGGAGAAATCGAGAGTGACAGAAAGAGGACCAACAACAGCAACTCTTTCGTTTCAATCGAAATTCTGCCGGGATTGTATTTGACAATGTTTTTCTTTCTAGAAAATCACAAAAAAAAACTTTTCTGCAAGTCACAATCGACAAGTAATTCTAGCCAATCAATAAATATCTTTTTTAGGTCAATGCCAACACTTGCTTTAGTGATACTTATTATTTGCACTTCCATAGTTGGCTTTAATTGTGGTGCATTCTTCCGCAGTTCAGCTATTGTTGCTGCGTAAGTGTAGTTTTTATGAATCAATCATCGATTAACGTAATCAATCGATTAATTTATTTATTTGGGAGAAAATTTTCATCAAATTTTTGCGATTACTCATTGCTGGGAAGTCTAAAGAATCACAAGAAACCACTTGTGTCATGAATTTTGGCATATAAAATATATTTGTATCTACTGTAGGGTTGCAACTTTGCAAAATAACGATCACTAAGTAAGCAAAACGACAGGAAAACCATGGAAAATACTACTCTAGTGAGAATACTGTAATATAATTGTTCTGTAAAGTATAACTGTGATGTGGGGTAGTGAAGAAATTAATGTCAAGTATTTCAAAGGTAAAAAACGAAAAGAATATCTCTCAAAATCGATTTAATATCAATTGTTGATCATTTATTTATTTTCAGACAACATAATCACTTTGTGATGGGTGTGAATTCGTTTTTCAACTGCCTAGCAGCTTTGTTGGCACCCGTCGTGGTGAATATT